GAGAAGGTTCATGTAAAGATGTAATTAAGTTTTGTGATGGTTAATACCGTATCTAATATTTTATGCTATAATCTGGAAGCCGTAGAGCAAAGAAACTGCAGTCCCTGGGACTTGGTTCCCAGAAGGGGTAGAAATGTCTCTCAATTGCTACGTCCAGTTCGGGCCTGGGGCCCAACCAGCCTTCTATCGAGTGCATACTGGGGGTTGTTTCTTCGCGTGTAAGACCTCCCGGTGTGGGGATAAATAGTCTCTTAACCGAAATCAAGAACGTGTTGAGCTTTTCCAAAACTCCCCTGCACGTCTTCATGGTGTGGTGCTTAACGAAGCATTTCATTTATGTTTAATACCTTAGGTGGTTTTTGGGCGTAATGTCGTGCCCGCTCTTAGTATTACTTCTGTGTTTGATTGAAGTTCATACATGGAATTTAGTCGCGGATTTCTAGTATGTGAAAGGGGAAATACATGAAAGTTAATGGGCACGTAAAGCTTGTTTTGGGTCCCAGAATAAGGAGTGGAAGACATTTATTGTTGATTTGGGATTGGAGCCTTCGTCTTCCAAATTTATTTTTTTAAAAATATAGAATCTGTGTGTGTAATTGGGTTTGAGCTACACATACTCCATCGTCCTTAGTAAAATGAAACGGTTCAAGATATACTTTCACTCCTTCCATCCGAATTGTGGAATAAACCACAGTCACGTATTTCTATCCCTTTTCATTATTTGTTACCGTTTTAATCTCTTTGAACACTTTATAACCTGTGTAGTCTAACTGGAATAGTATCGTTAAATAATCTAACAATTAATTATAGAATAAAGCAAGGCAAATGGCTGAAAAGTGAACACAATTTTAATCGTAAAGGATGCTAAAGAGACTCGAGAAGTAGGATATTGAGGCCGGTTCAGACATTAAGTCGCATAGTACCTGAAGCCAAGAAACAAGTATATATCTGATATAGTCTTATATAAAAAAAATGATTTGGCTCAGTGATCCTTATTCCGCCCTGGGTTCCTTTGTTTCGCCCCTTTGTGTCTTCTTGTTTCGTTATTTTACGCGCCTCGTATATCTAGACTTATAAAGATGACTCGAATATCATTGTATTTAAGAAGTGTGTAGAGACAGTAATAAATATATTATAAAATGTGTTTCACTTGCAGTTTCATTTCGAATCTGGACATTTGAAAGAAATGTCAGTTTTTGAAAAATTTATTTTAGGCTTTCTACATCCGAAGCCTGTTTAAGAGATCTCGTAGCTCAAAAGCAGTGCTGAATCTCCCACAAGATAAAAAATAAGCTTACCTGTCTACTTATTAAACATACATTGTAATTCGTTAGCAGTTGTTAACAAAAAGCATCAAATTTCACACCACAGTGTAGATCTGTTTGTGAATAATTACGGTGTATTGGCCATCTAAATGTCAAGGGTTCGATTCCAGCTGATTTAGAAAGCGGTAAGATTGGAATCACGGATCACGTTAGAACTGCCCCATACAACCGTCACTTTAAGACTTCTGTTTCAAGATACGTAGATGCAGTTTTACATTTTGAAAATGCTCTTCAGTCCTGAATTGCATTGAATTGAATCACTGTGTGGTTATACGACACGCGCAATAAATCACATTAAATAAGCAGTTTACTCTTTTAATACAATTTGATTTTGAGGAAAAAAAAGGTTAAGAAACGATCTTTTTTATTTAATATATGTTCATTTTGTGCGTGCTTGTAACGAGTTTTTCATGGTGTTCTGGCACTTCAGTTGTTCTGCTGGCATTTACCAACATTTTTTCTCGGATAAATTGCGTTTCAATGACAATGGAAGTCCTGTCCGACAGTAGTGAGTGGCCAACGAAAGACAGACAGTGTATTGTTTGTATAAACAAAAGAGAGTCTCATGGGTTCCGCGACCTGGCACAAGGCTGTGCTGCGGTCGTTCTAAGGCACAAGAAGTTCGTTGCACCTTTCTAAATTTGAGCAACTGTGGGTGAAAGTTATTGATGTGAATGCGTCTGTCTGCTGTTGTTTAATTTCACAAGTATTAATCAGGAAGTGTTGGAATTAAACGGCCTAAATACTTATGAAAATTAGTTGAGGGAGAATATAAATGCCGTTAGCAATATTATAGAAATTCTCCTACAGGCCAATAAATAAAAAGGTCTTTAGTAACTGTCTTTGAAACTAAATGTACTCGTACGGACGG